AAGTTAACACAGGAGGCCACTAACTTCAGGTAGATTTACTAAAGGATTTTTACTTCTTTCTGGTTATAATGTATGGATCTGGCTTTAACCCTCATAGCCTCTGAAAAGAAGGAAGTCAGGAACTGTGCTTACTGCTTACAGATACTTTTTACATCAGGGTTTATGTCAGGCATACACAGGAACAAGTAAATCAATACATGAAGAATTCCTTTTTGCAATTCTGGTCTTCTGAATTGAAGGACAGGATAGTCCCTCCAAAAATGTGACTGTCAAACCGCAGGCAAGTGAGTAAGAAAGATTACCTTGGAGACAATTTACATCCACGTTGCAAGTATGCATTGAGTGTCCCAGTTGCTGCTAGCAGCAGTCCAAGGTATGCAGGTGAAGGTTTCATAGGTCTTGAGGAAAACTCTGGGTGGAACTGAACTCCCACAAAATATGGGTGATCTGCAAGATAGATGTCAAAGAAAATTATAAGACGTAGGAAGACAGTAGAACAACTGTTACCAAAAAAAGTTTATTGAAGATTTCACACAGGAGTCCAAAAGCCAGATAAGCACGTGTGAACTTAAGGGCAAGGCAGCAGGAACCTTAACTTTTTCCATGAAAAGCAATTGACTTCAGAGGCAGAAGGTTAGTAAGGTAAATTAAGGAAAAATCATCCTGTGATTCAGCCTTAATGTGCACAATGATGTAATTAAAAGCTGAATAATAAACCTGTACTGACAGGTAAGGGGGGAGGGGAGCAACAACCACAAAGTCTACATTTATCATGTTATTTTCATAGTATTTTGGTTTCCAATATATATTTATGCATGTATATTCAGAACATGCACCCATAAATACCTGAGGGAAAAATAAAACAGTTCCTAAAAGACCAAGGGTTAACATACAGCAACTATTTACACACTAAGAGATGGATATGAAAGCAACATACAGAGAAACTGGGGAAAACAAGCTTCAAATAATTAGGCCTGGAAGGGATCTCCTGGAACTTCATGTTTCCTGTTATTGAATGCAGCTACATCGAGTAGTCTCACGCACAAAGGGTCAAGGCTCTGCCATAACACCCTCTATGTTTTTTTGCTCCCACTAGAAAGCTCTTCTGATACTCTCTCCTTTTGCTTAGAAACCTTTTGCTAACTCAAAGGCCATCTTTGTTACAGCAAACTTATATCCACTTCTTATGGTGCTCTTCTCTCCTGCTGTTTGGCCTGTGTGATTGAGGATGACAGTATCACCATCGTTCAACTCTGCCTGCTAAGCTAAACAAGCCATGCTGCTTCATCTTCTCTTAAATCTTCAGCTCTCTTGTTTCCCAATCTGGGAATGCCGGGTCCCTCACTTGGATCACAACCCCATGCAATGCTACAGGCCTGGGGAAGAGTGGCTGGAAAGCTGCCTGGCAGAAAAGGACCTGGGGGTGCTGGTTGACAGACGGCTGAATATGAGCCAGCAGTGTGCCCAGGTGGCCAAGAAGGCCAATGGCATCCTGGCTTGTATCAGGAATAGTGTGGCCAGCAGGAGCAGGGGAGTGATCGTGCCCCTGTACTTGGCACTGGTGAGGCCGCACCTCGAATGCTGTGTTCAGTTTTGGGCCCCTCACTATAAGAAGGACATTGAGGTGCTGGAGCGTGTTCAGAGAAGGGCAACCAAGCTGGTGAGGGGTCTGGAGCATGAGTCTGGTGAGGTGTGGCTGAGGGAACTGGGGTTGTTTAGCCTGGAGAAGAGGAGGCTGAGGGGAGACCTGATCACCCTCTACAACTGCCTGACAGGAGGGTGTAGCGAGGTGGGGGTCGGCCTTTTCTCCCTGGTAACGGGTGATAGGATAAGGGGAAATGGTCTGAAGGTGCACCAGGGCAGGTTTAGGTTAGGCATTAGGAAAAATTTCTTCACCGAAAGGGTTGTCAGGCACTGGAATGGGCTGCCCAGGGAAGTGGTAAAGCCCCCATCCCTGGGGGTATTTAAAAGATGGGTAGACAAGTTGCTTAGGGACATGGTTTAGTGGTGGGATGGCAGGGTTAGGTTAACGGTTGGACTTGATGATCTTAAAGGTCTTTTCCAACCTAAACAATTCTATGATTCTATGCAATTTAGTTCTTTAAAGCTATAAAACAAGACAGTGACAAAGCATCAAATATTTCCTGTGGGGATATTTTGCTTAAAAGCTTTGCCTAAGCTATCTGGTGTACTGTTATTTCTGTGCTTCCGCTCCAACCCACCCTCCTCCCTATGATGACTGTTTTTCGTTAGTAATCAGAGCCTCCTTGCAGCCCATTGTGAAATAATGCCAGGTTTTACTGCTGCTTCTATTCTTTTCACAGTAACATGCAATTTAAAAATTCTGCCTGATTTATTTCACAGTGCTCTCTATAGAATTTGTTTCATAACAAAATAGCCTCCCAAACCAGCATACGTAACGGACGTAATCTATCAGGAACAAACTAAGCAAAGAACACCATGACAATTAGTAGTTTATGAATTCACATGTGTCCTTTGCTCTCAGATCACTCTCTATGGCGCAGTTGCTTGACATTGTAAGTAGGTGTCTATATTGAAACCCTGGTTCAAAATTGCAACACCATGGAGCATACCATAGAGTGTATAAAATAAATTCTCAGGAGCATTATGTCACAAATAGCACTCCACAGGATGATAGTGTTCTCTTATGATAAATTTATGTTTCTGTGCACGGAGTTTATCTTAACCAATGGCAATTAGGAGCCACATAAGAAAGGAAAAGAAGTCATGTAAGGTAGCCTGCATCTTCAGGTGACAGATACTCATCTAGCCAACAATGACTTAACAGCAAGGAGTTAATCAAAGGATCAAGCAAAATCAGAAAGATTGTTTCTAAGAGCTATTCTGTGTAGTATTCAAAGATATGCAGTGTAGCTTCTTTTTACTTCAGAACCTTTTAGAAAAGAAATCAAGTCTTACTTAGTAAAGTAGTCCAAACCTACCAGATTTCCACAGTATCAAACCCTCATCTATCTGAATCACTTCTGTGAAAGAAAGGAACTTGCTTTCTATTTGATTTTCATATTTTTTTCTATGATCCTAAACAGGGTGACTGAAAGAGACAAACTGATCAGGAGGCACACTGGGAAGTCTCTAGTCCCACCTCCTGCTCAAAGCAGGGTCAAGTTCAAAATTAAATCAGGCTTGACTGACAGCTTTGTCTAGTCAAGTTTTGAAGGTCTCTATCTGCAAGGATGGAGATTTCACAGCCTCTCCAGGTAATACATTCCAGTGATGTTTTATACATTGGCTATATTGCATGTATACATATTTCATATACTCAAGCAAACTGAACGTTTATTAGTTGTTAGCACCTCACTAAGAATATTTGAGGGTGCTTAGGGAACAGGTCAATGTCATCATGAAGCTGGTTTTTTAACCTCTAAAAGGCCAAGGCGATCATGAGAGGTCCCTGATGACTGGAAAAAGGCAGTCACCATGCCCTCTTCAAGAAAGACAAAAAGAAGGATCCAAGGAACTATAGGATGGTCAGCCTAACCTCAGTTTATGGCAAGATTATGAAAAAAATCCTCCTCCAAGGCATTTCCAGATACACAAAGGACAGGAAGACAATTGGGCACAATAAGCTTGGGAACAATCAGTCCTTCGATGCAAGGAGGGTAATAGCCTTCCTTCATCCTGACTTTAGCAACACTTTTGAAATGGTTTCCTAGCATCTAAGTTAGGAGCTATCGACTATGGGTAGACTACAAAGCGTGTTAAAAAATGGCTGGACTGTTGGGTTCAAAGAGTAGTGGGGAGCGGTCTGAAGTCCAACCAACAGCATACTTAGAGATACTCAAAACTTGACTGATTCGGCTTTCAACAGCCTAATCTATATTTGAAGGTAGCCCTGTGTTGGAAGCAGAGTATTAGACTAGATGACCTCTCAAATCACAAATATGTATGATTCTACATAGCCAAATCCTGCTGAGCTACAATTATCACCTTTTGGAAAAGTAGCATGTCTCTCCGTGATAATCAAATACATGTCCAATCCTTGAGAAGTATAAAACTTCTCCTAACATCCTCTGAATCTTCACCCATTGTAACACATAGGTGGAGTCAGCAGTATCCCCCAACATGATCTTGGCTGTTATGACAGCTAAATATTGCACCTACATGCCATTTGACAACCTATAGTTCACACAGTTTTAATAGATGCAGAAAGTACTACAGACAAGTAAGACACTCACTCTCCAGTTCAATAATTTCCATTCTGTTCCCTTCTGTATCGTGGCCAACAAATTTCAAACCTTTCTCTTCAAAGCAGTGAGTCAATTCTGGGTTCACCTGAAATATTGAAAGTAATAATAATTGTAGTTCTATTTCTTTTTGGATTTAACAAACAGTAGTAGTAAATTGTAATGGTTTTAGTATGCATACAAGAATGAAAAGAATTGAGAAAAGAGCTGGGAACTTTTTCTTTCTTGTTTTAACAACTCTCTGGTATGAATTTGTAAAAGTGGGCATGCTTATTTAATAAGAGATGAACCAGTAATTTTAAAAACTTGCTACATAACACTCAAAAGATTAAAGCCAGGGTCCCTTCTGCTTGCTGTGCTCCTGATTCTGAGCAGCTTGCATTCCTCATTTTTTAAACAGCCCACTACAGTAGGCGTAAAGACTGACCTCCTCTTTGAACACTGCATTTCAGTGGTTATGACACAAACTGTGGTTCAGCTCATCCTTCAAACCGAGAAGCTCTGCAGTGAGCTGTTTCATTTCCTTGGTGATGTTCTAACCACTCAGCTAATATTCAAACTCTGAGCACCTTTACCACCATCGCATTCTCCTCCCAGCTTTTTAAGGAAACTTAACATTGTCCGAATCAGCTTGTAGCTCAGGCCCCTGTGGAGATACAGATGGAGTCAGGTCCCTTCTGAACTATCTCTGAGATAACTGTAGGAGTTCAGCTCTCGCTCATTGCCTTGAATGACAGTATTTTGAATGTACATAGACACCTTTGCTCAGATGTTCTCAAACAGAGGAGTGGAACTACACAAGGGGCCTACAGAGCTGGATGGTAGCCTTCAAGTTGTAGATGCCTGAAGTCTGCCTACATTTAGACTATGAAAGAAAGCACGCTACCTGAACATAATCCAAGCCTTTAAATAAGCCAAATTGGCCAAGGAGCAATGCATTTAAGGATTATAAGCCTTTACCTTTCAAATACTTCACAGGGAGTCAACTCGGGTAATCTATGACATCACTCTCTAAGACCATTTTGCTAAAACACTGAACCTCCTCTACCACAGAAACAGTACACTATACTAATCCCCTCTACTGAACACTTGCAAGAACACCTCTGCGATACTGTGTCTAGTTTCAGGCCCCTCAGTACAAGAAAGAGATTGACAAAATGTTGCAAGTCCATAGAAGGTCCAACCAGGATGGTTAGGGGCCTGGACCACGTGCAACATAGGAGGAAGGACTGGATAAACTGGATTTGTTCAGCCTAGAGAAGACAAAGAGTGGATCTCTTTGCTGACTTCAGCTATCTAATGGGACGGTATAAAGAAGACAAAGCCAGACTCTGCTCAGAGATGCACAGCATAAGACAGAGATAAAAGACAAACTGCCCAAGGAAATGTCCTATTAGATATGAAGGAAAAAAGGGTTCATAGTGAAGTGGTTAAGCACTGGAACAGACTGTTAAAAGATGTTGTGGAACCTCTCTCTTCAGAGATTCAAAACTGGATGGGACAAAATCCTGAGCAGCCTGATATAATTTTGAAGTTGGCTTAGCTCCAAACAGAGTTACACTTGCAGAGGTTCCGAGGTTCCTTTCGATCTAAATTATACTGTCTAACCATTACTAAATTTTCAGCTTTGTTTATGTAAGAAATCTCCCATTGGCTTTAAGGAGAATCGTGCCTACTGAAACAAAATTTACTTAAGCTTTAACTTTTGAGCACAAAGTACATTAGCAGTGCTTACCTCATATCGATGCCTGTGTCGCTCCTCTACAAACATTGCATCACCATAAAGTTTCCCTGAATATACAACAAAAAATAAATTAATGCTAATGTGTTGCTTTAATAGTTGTTACAACTATTTCTTATAATTTAAACCTCAAAAAAATTTCACATGTAAAACATAACAGGACACTATTCATCTCACTCCAGCTTTCTGTTTTTCTGAGTGATAACTAGTTTCTTTTAATTTATTGTTACCTGAGTTCATTCAGGATTCATATTCAACATTCCTTGACCAGAAATAGCTTAGTTATAGACTACAGTCTGAAGGCCACACTTAAATTAATTCAAATTGTAAAGCCCAAAATAAAATAAAAGATGTTTGAGTGAACAAGCAACATAAAATCCCTTCAGGGTTTTACAACAGTTGTACACAAAAGGTGCAGCAAAGGAAGCCTTTTCATAGCATCTGTTCCATTTTAATTGATTATGCATGGCAGCTGGCATAATACATCCAATGACAAACAGAGAATATTGTTTTTCTCTGTTTTCCTGATCTCCTTACCCAAATGACTCTTGCAGTCCTCTGAGCCTAACCTGGAACACACTACATTCCAGAGCAACAAGGACTAAGGTAGCAGTATGCAGTAAACCAGAATTTAATCATATCTCTCACTTACATTCACAGCTCAAACTTCGCTCTCAATGTACCCTAGTGTCATTAGGGTTACTATCTCTCTTAGGGGCTGGTACAAGAACTAGACTGCGAGGATCTCCAAAAACTGTAGAGTGATAGTACTGCAATTTTACAAAAAGTGGTGTATGCATTAATTTTAAGGAGCTACCTTTTCAAAAACATTCAAGTTATAAGCATTAGAAACAGGAACTGATTTCCTGAGTAAACTACCAGAGCTTTTTATGAGTCTTTGATAAATATGGTCATCTAAACAACTCATAATACCGGTCAAGAGTTACAACACATGTTAATTTTTATTAACTTTTCCAAGAAGTGTTTAGGCCACAGAATAACTTGTACATTGTGATATGCATATTTATACCACATCTAGGCAAAGCATCATCCAGGGCAGTCAGATCACTAGCACAGGCATTCTCTAGAAAGGCAGATTTTTTAAGCATGCATATGTATTACACTTCAGTCTCCTGCTAAAGTAGATGTCATTTTTAAAAGCTCAGAGAGATACATTCCATAAGTTCAACATAGCTAAATACAGTAATAGTTCAGATCAAGGTCAGAGGCAGGGCAATGTAAGAAATATGCCCATATTTATCGATGGACAAGAAACCACTGTTTACTCATTTTCAGCATCACTTATATATGTATTACAGGCTGATTAACAGGACACAACCATTACTTCAATTTTAAAATACTCATAGATCAAATTGAATCATTTGTTCTATATTCTGTTTGCTTTTAGTTTGCCTTTTGAAGCATCCTGTTAAAGCAAATAATTTTCCTTTCCTACAACAAATAATTTGCTTTCCCAAAACAAAGCTATTTCCAGGGCTGGGTTAGGCCTACGGCAGTGCTGGATCAGAGACTGGAGTTAAGCAGGGCCTGGCTGTAATTAGGATACAAACTAGCAAACATTGTCAAGACAAGGTGAGGACTAAGGCAGTGAGGCCAGATGTTTAAGGCTGAGATGTACTGGCAACTCTGCGGAATGACAGAAGCAATGTTTAGGTCTAGCAATAGCATAACGGGTAGAAGTTTGGGTTAGCTCTACCAAAAAGCTTCAGGGATAGAACAAGAAGCCCTGGTTCACACGTCCTATTGACTCACAAAGAAAATAGGAAGAAAATGCTCTGATCTTCCCAAGAAGATAATCAATTAAACTACCATAAAATGCATTTCAGTTATCTCATCAGTCTCCTTGTTTATTTAAAGTGCTGGACCCTAACTACCTCTTCACCAGGCCTTCCAGATGTCTCCCATTTCTTTCTTTACATTCTGATTCTGGGTAAATGTATATGGGAACAGGATCAGAGTGAATGAGCTCAGGGAAGCTGTCACTTAACTGCTTGCTTGAGGTTGTAGTCCCTTAACAAAACATGCTTTGGCATTTTTGCTCTGCCACGTTACAGAGTTTCTATCCAAAACGCAAGTCATAAGAGCAGAAATGTAACTTACTTAAAACAGAATTTTGTGTTTTGAAAACAGTCCTCCTCTTCCCCAGTCTCATTGTTCCACCCATATCTCCAGGATTGTGTTCCGGCATGTCAATAACCTGTAGAGAAAAATTTTTAAACACTGTTTCATCCAACAAAGAAAAAAAAAATGCAACAAATGCATAGATTTAGAAATGGTAACATGATTTCTTTTTCCTCCAAGCATTCCCAGTTACGACTTCTCTTTGGTTTCCCTAATGCTTTGTTCTCAGTATTGGGACTGTAATAGACTGAACATATTAACTAACTGGTGTGAAACTTTTCCATTTAATGAAAATTTAATTTTATTTTTAAATATAATTAAATTTAATTTTAAGATCAAAAAAAGCAATTTATTAATTCCTTAATTTAATTTCAGGGATAGGAAAAGAACCCTTTTCTTTTAAAAAAGGTACCAAAATGTTAGCAATAGGATAATTCTACCAAAAGCTATTCCTGGTGCTATAAGAGTACATAGATTTCTAAAAACTGATAAGCTCATAGACAAAAAAAAAGAAAATCCACCAAGTGATAAAGACGCCATCTCTGAAAAAGCAAGAGGCTGAAAGATTATCCTGGGTAATTATTACTGTACAGTAGGCCCTTTCTTATACTGTTCTTTACACACAATGTTTGTTCTTACGCTAAGAGGCAGAAACAGCTGTCTTAGCAAGACAGCAGAAGTCCTCGGGTTTTGGAAGTGGGAAGAAGAGGAGGGCATGGAACAGCAGAGCGAAAAGAAGAGGGCACTTGTTACAAGAGTATAATCTGAAGTTGTAAAAGCGGAGTACTAAAAAAGGTGACTCCAACATGTGAGTGCTATTTCAGATTATATATGTAACTGATTTATCACAGGGAGAAAATGGAAAAACTTCCCCCCTACTTCACCTTTACTAAAGGGTTTCTCAGATTGCCTAAGAATCCACAAAACACTGGGTTGCCAGGTATGAAGAATATGCTATTTAACGTAACGTTTAAAGAAGAGGATATGCAAATACTGGTTTTGAAGTCTGAAGTGGATGGGTCAAATGGCTGCTATGTGGGTCAAGCAGAATGCAGGATGGTGGGATTCAGGGGATGTGAGGAACAACAGCTTCATGGAAGGAGTGCGTTTAGTTTTGCTCAGTTTGAAAAATCCTGCTGGGTCTCACAATCATGTTTAGAGGAAGTCTGTCTCAGAGAGGTAAAACAGTTCAAAACTGTAGAAACACATCAGCTGAAACTATGACCTACGTGCTTGTATTTGCATATACACAGTCAGTGAGGAATGTAATTGACAAAGAAAGGTTCTAAAAATACAAATATTCACACACACGGGTAATCAGGAATTGGATTTTTATTAACCTTAATTTGCCCCCTGGGAGTAATGAAAACAATTTCTGATGATACACTTCATAAAGTGAAGTTATTCAATTTAGAAGGGATGGTGGAAAGTGCTTAGCCTTTGGCCTTCTGCCAGTGCATTTCAGCTGTGCAATTATCTCTGCATAACCTTATACCTTCAAAACATTATTTATAAGCTATATGCTCATTATAAAATGTCACGAGCAGAAGTTGTGATCAAACCAGTGGGATATTACAAATCCTCTAATTACCTTCCAAATCATGAAGGTGAGGACTATGTAGCACATTCAGCTAACAAAACCCCACAAAATAAAAAAATAAAAAAAATTGAATCCTTATTATTTAAAGAAAAAAAAGATGAGATTGTCTGCTTGTAGTTTATTTCCTTCCATTTGCTTTCACTTTTTTTCTGAAGTAGTAGCCACAGGACATCAGAAGCTGTTAGAATGTACACAGCAGACTGTGTGTATATGTCAAACACTCTGACTCTCTGAAATCAAACACAAGTTTTCCACGAGGTGCTATTTACTTGCCTATGCCCATACTACAGATAACCTTAAAGTTGTGCTCCTGACTCTTGTCAAATGGAGATGAAGTGGTAACAAGCAGCTATCAAGTATTTCAAGTATATGCTTCTCTTCCAATTACAAAAAAATAATTTTAACAGCTGTTTAATGAGTATTTGCAGTTGACAAGAAAAACAATTAGAGTTTTGTTTGTTTGTTTGAGTTTTTTTAAGTTTGGAGGCTAAAGTCAAGATTAGACATTCCTTCACTCTCAAAAGTGTATCAAGCACCTAAATACTGTCTCCTAACCTCAGCTTTAGATTTTTCTTCCTAAGAATTTGGGGTAGGATTTATTGGTCTAACTTTGCTAACTGAATCATAGTAGGTGTTTGGGGTTCCTCCCTTCCCCCCACCTCCAAAAAAAATTAGATTTCACTATTTTCACCTTTCAGCATTCACTGTACTAAGATATTCTCTCTATCACAACATCTCGAGCGTAATGCCATAAACAGAATGAAGTATGGGGATAAAATGAGTGGGATGGTAACTTCCTGAAGGACATTGCTCAGCCCTTAAACTCCTCAGTTAAAACACTGGCTCCAAATGAAGTGGACCTGCCTACGCAGTCCATAGCAGATTTCACTAGTTTCCTGTGCTTAAATGTGTTCTCCAGGAAGACTCAAAAACATCAGTTAGCAAATATATGGTCTTCTGTTCGTTAAACAGAGCCTAGCAGTTCAAATAGATCATGGCCACACTCACAGCTCTTCCTTCATTCAGTAGGCAAAAACCAAAGACCAGATGCTCATGAGTCCCAGTGAAGCTCTAGATCATAGCCTGGAACTAAGCCAGGCTGTGAAAGCACAGCTTCATCTGCTCTGCTGAGGGCTTCTTGCCACCCTTTGGGTCAGAACCCAAAATGGGGCTGCTGGAAGCCCAACAAAAATTCCACTGGAGAAATGGCCTCACAGGGAAGATTTGGGCATTCTCCCCCAATTAATCTTTGTCTTCTAAAAGGCCTGCTTCCTTCTCTCAACAGCTACATTAGTGTGTCAGGGGCATATATTGGGAAGAGCATCCAACCCTTAAAACTTTCACTAATGCCTGCTAGGTCTTGATTGAGGTCTTTTAAGAAACATTGAACGATACAACAGTTCAATCTCATTTCTATCTGTGGCAGATTTTCTGCCAAATTGACAGCTGCATTGAGTTTCAACATCAAGCAGCTTACTGCGTGTGCTCATGTTTTGTTATTGATGCGTGCATTATAAACCAGTTCTCCATCTTCCCCAAGATTTTTAGGCTTATGATAGTAGGAAAATAGACAAGGCTTCAAATAGTAATTTTTGTAGACAGGTGAGGAAAGGAGCTATTTATGAAGTAATACCTCAGAGCTTTTTGATATGCTCTGTGGCTCCGATCAACTTCAGCAACTATCACAGTACAACCCTCAACATTTATGTATTACATGAGTTTCTCTGCAACAAAGTGTGCAAGAAGCTTCGAAAACAAAGTGGCACTGCTGCCCTACAGCCCAAGGACAGTAATAAGCATCAGAAAAGCAATTTTGCCACATTTCACAGAATTTATTTGATCAGATAAAAGATGAACCTTCAAGTGGTGGTTATTTTGAACAACTGTGCAACTGAATAGATTATTCAAAGAGCTTCCTGCCACATAATAAATCAGCTCTTACTATGCATTAGTTCTTTGAAGAACGCAGAACAGCACAGAACTACTGGCACCACAAGCAACAAAAAAGCATCAGTAAGGGAGGGTGCAATAAGAGATAAGGTATTAATTAGGTCTTTCTTACCCAAATCTCTGAAAACTGCCAACACTACAGGGACTTTACAGAGATCACATATTACACACCAGACAGTCAACACAAAATAAATAATGAATGACTCTGACATAATACAAAGCACATTCTAAAGATAAAACAGACTGATCAGTATTAAATCATGCTACAGATGAATAGTGACTTTAACTACCCATGAACTACAATCATCTTTCAGAAATCTACTGCTTGGATCGTTTCATTGTTGTTAGGAAACATATAAAAGCTAATGAGAAAACCTCTCAAGCCCAGACACTCAACATAGAGCAACCAAGACCCTGAAAACCCAATACCTATCATTTTAGTAATCATCCCAGGACCATTAAGTTGTCTTTGTTTTGCCTTGCGTCCTACAACGCCATTTTGAGAAATCCATCTACCTTGATTACCTGGGGGGGAAGGGGAGGAAAATGTTCTGTTTGGGTTTTGTTTGGGGGAGGTTGGGGTGGGGCGAGGGGGGGGATCATTACTTGGTTTAAACAACTCATCAGTAAGTCAGCTTTGGAAGCAGGTTTTCAGGGGTTTTGCCTTTTTACTCTGCTCTTGTCTGGTGAGCAAATGATTTGTCACTGCTGAAAAGAAATTACTACGCATGTAAGTGCTGATCAAAGCATCAGGAGAAGCCCCAACCCTAAAGATTAACCGAACACTGAAAAGAGGCTCTGAGACACTCAGCACACAAGAGATGTGCAGAGGGAAAGCTGACAGAAGCAGGGAATACAGTGACAGGTACTGATGAATATTAATCCC